CTTTAACAGCTATGGTTAATTGGTCCTTAAGACAGAAGATCTAGATGATCTGAAAGAGCCCATGGAGAGTCTGACAGAAGTCTAATCAGGTCAGAGTACCACATTCTCCTGGACCAATCTGGAGATGTGAAGATCACTCCAGTTCTTTTCATCTCAATCCTGTGAAACAGATAAGGAAGGAGTTTCAGGGGAGGAAAGGCATAAATCAGGGTGTACTGATCCCAGAGATCGACCAGAGTAGCCACTGCTTCTGCTGGAGGAGCACTGTACCTGGAGACAAACCTGTCTAATTTGTTGTTGAGCCTAGAGGCCAGGAGTTCCCCATCTGCCATCCCTCACCTGTGACACGGGTCTTGGAACACTTCCAGGTTCTAGGGACTACTCCCCTGGGTTCAAACATTGCAGACTGAGCAAGTCTGCCGAATCCTGTGCCCAAAGGTCACATTCCCGGCTAGTCCCTGTAATATCTAGTCCAGCTGAGTCTGGATATGGCACTCTAGAATCCAGCTGAGAAAAGGTGTCTGCGCCCAAGTGTGATTGTGTATGAAACTGCGTCCTTTTCTGGTGACAGATGGATGAAAAGGATGATACACTGGGCCCTCTGGTGACAAATTAATGAACAGAATGGTATGCTGGGCTCTGTTGTGACAGATGAATGAAAACGATGGTACACTGGGCCCTCTGGTGACAGATGAATGAACAGAATGGTATACTGGGCTCTCTTGTGACAGATGAATGAAAACGATGGTACACGGGGCCCTCTGGTGACAGATGAATGAAAAGGATGGTACACTGGGCCCTCTGGTGGCAGATGAATGAACAGAATGGTATACTGGGCTCTCTTGTGACAGATGAATGAACAGAATGCTATACTTGGCTCTCTTGTGACAGATGAATGAAAACGATGGTACACTGGGCCTTCTGGTGACAGATGAATGAAAAGGATGGTACACTGGGCACTCTGGTGACAGATGGATGAAAATTATGGTACACTGGGCCCTCTGGTGACAGATGAATGAACAGAATGGTATACTGGGCTCTCTTGTGACAGAAGAATGAAAAGGATGGTACAATGGGCTATCTGGTGACAGATGGATGAAAAGGATGGTACAATGGGCTCTCTTGTGACAGATGAATGAAAAGGATGGTACACTGGGCCCTCTGGTGACAGATGAATGAACAGAATGGTATACTGGGCTCTCTGGTGACAGATTAATGAACAGAATGGTACACTGGGCTCTCTTGTGACAGATGGATGATACACTGGGCCCTCTGGTGACAGATGAATGAACAGAATGGTACACTGGGCTCTCTGGTGACAGATGAATGAACAGAATTGTATACTGGGCTCTCTTTGGACAGAGGAATGAAAAGGATTGTACAATGGGCCCTCTGGTGACAAATGGATTAAAAGGATGGTGCCAATTGGCCCTCTGGTGACAGATGGATGAAAATGATGGTACACTGGGCTCTCTTGTAACAGATAAATGAACATGAATGAACAGCATGGTATGCTGGGCTCTCTTGTGACAGATGAATGAAAAGGATGGTACAATGGGCCATCTGGTGACAAATGAATAAAAAGAATGGTACACTGGGCTCTCTTTGTGACATATGAATGAACAGAATGGTACACTGGGCTCTTTGGTGACAGATGAATGAACAGAATGGTACACTGGGCTCTTTGGTGACAGATGAATGAACAGAATGGTACACTGGGCTCTCTTGTGACAGATGAATGAACAGAATGGTACACTGGGCTCTCTTGTAACAGATGAAGGAACAGAATGGTACACTGAATTTTCTGGTTAAAAATAACTAAACAGGACATGAAAATTACACCAACCTAAAAGAGTTCGATCTTATAAATGCATGCATGTACCTTAAAGGGTTTCTAAGCCCTCAGCTTTTTTTGCATATATCTACTGCTAGCAAGCAGTAGATATATGCAAAAAGTAAAAAAACAAAACGCTTTAACATTGGTTTAAACTTACCTGTGTCTTCCCTGCGCGCTCCTGTCCGAAAATTTGAAACTGCACGGGCGGCCACGGGCGGGAGCATGTGCAGTTCACATTTTTAGCCGGGACGCGAGGAAAGACACAAGGTAAGTCTATGGACGCGTGCACCCGCATGCAGATTCGCCATTTATCAAAAATGTATCTTTTTTTCTCACTCACTGTAGATCCTCAAATTATCTCTGAATTTGTGCTGACACTGTTCCTCCTGGAGGATGGCTACTTTTGTTCCCTACACAATACATTAGATCTGCTTTAACTTCTATGTATATTACAATGTTGCACTCATTACAAGAGACAGTGATAATCTGCTACTGGATTATTTTAAAATAAAGATCATTAATACTGATTTACAAAAGTACAGATGCACATTCAAATTTAAAATGGTAAGTGAATAAACCATATACAGTGCAGTGAGCCCTCCAAGGGAATTAACCATATACTGTACAGTGCAGTGAGCTCTCCAGTAGGTAAGGGAATTAAACATATACAGTGCAGTGAGCCCTCCAGTAGGTAAGGGAATTGACCATATACAGTCCAGTGAGCTCTCCAGTAGGTAAGGGAATTAACTATATACAGTGGAGTGAGCCCTCCAGTAGGTAAGGGAATTAACCATATACAGTGCAGTGAGCGCTCCAGTAGGTAAGGGAATGAACAATATACAGTGCAGTGAGCCCTCCAGTAGGTAAGGGAATTAACTATATACAGTGCAGTGAGCCCTCCAGTAGGTAAGGGAATTAACCATATACAGTGCAGTGAGCGCTCCAGTAGGTAAGGGAATGAACAATATACAGTGCAGTGAGCCCTCCAGTAGGTAAGGGAATGAACTATATACAGTGTACTGAGCCCTCCAGTAGGTAAGGGAATGAACCATATACAGTGCAGTGAGCGCTTCAGTAGGTAAGGGAATTAACCATATACAGCAGGGGTGCCCACAAGGTCGATCGCGATCTACCAGTCGATCGCGTAGCGATCACTGGTAGATCGCCATGTCCTCTCCTCCCGCCGCTTCTCTGGATCCCCGCTGCTCTCCCCAGCGGGGATCAGAGAAGAAGTGAAGGAACCGGCGGCGGGGGAGGGTTTTCGTTGGTAGATCTCAATGAGCTCGTCATTTGAAAAGTAGATCTCCAGACAAAAAATAGTGGGCGCCCCTGATATACAGTGTACTGAGCCCTCCAGTAGGTAAGGGAATTACCCATATGCAGTGCAGTGAGCGCTCCAGTAGGTAAGGGAATGAACCATATACAGTGCAGTGAGCGCTCCAGTAGGTAAGGGAATGAACCATATACAGTGTACTGAGCCCTCCAGTAGGTAAGGGAATGAACCATATAAAGTGCAGTGAGCCCTCCAGTAGGTAAGGGAATGAACCATATACAGTGCAGTGAGCCCTCCAGTAGGTAAGGGAATGAACCATATACAGTGCAGTGCTCGCTCCAGTAGGTAAGGGAATTAACCATATACAGTGTACTGAGCCCTCCAGTAGGTAAGGGAATGAACCATATACAGTGCAGTGAGCGCTCCAGTAGGTAAGGGAATGAACCATATACAGTGCAGTGAGCGCTCCAGTAGGTAAGGGAATGAACCATATACAGTGCAGTGAGCCCTCCAGTAGGTAAGGGAATGAACCATATACAGTGCAGTGCTCGCTCCAGTAGGTAAGGGAATTAACCATATACAGTGTACTGAGCCCTCCAGTAGGTAAGGGAATGAACCATATAAAGTGTACTGAGCCCTCCAGTAGGTAAGGGAATGAACCATATACAGTGCAGTGATTTATCTACTGACAAGATAAATGATCGAATTAGCACATTAAACTCTCCATTAACGGATGAATGAACTGTAAAATGAAGTAATCTCTCCAGTGACAAATGAATGACCTCTGCAGTGATATTTCTGGTGACAGAAGAATGATCTGTACAGTGCAATTATATCTCTAGTAATAGATGAATAAACTACAGGGGCAGATGAATAATCTGTACAGTGCAATGAGATTTCTGGGGACATGATTAATTGTAAGGGATCATGGACACCAGTGCACGTTAGCACACATTATTAATGTTGATGCCATACCGTGCCTATCGTTCTGATTTGCACTTCCATGCACATGCATTAAAGTGATCTCTCTACTGACAAATCAATGTCCAACACATTGCGCCGTAAGTGAATGTGTGGATAGATTGCACAGTAGGTAAACGTGGCGATGGCTTGTGCTATAAGCGAATGTGGGGTTGGATTGCACAGTAGGTGAACATGAGGATAGATTGCACTGTAAGTAGATGTGGGGATGGATTGCACTGTAAGTGAATGTGGGGATGGAATGCACAGTACATGAACAAGGGGATGGATTGCACAGTAGGTGAACGTGGGGATAGATTGTGCTGTAGGTGAATGTGGGGATAGATTGTGCTTAAAGTGATTATGGGGATAGATTGCGCAGTAGGTGAATGCGGGGATAGATTGTGCTTAAAGTGATTATGGGGATAGATTGCGCAGTAGGTGAATGCGGGGATAGATTGTGCTTAAAGTGATTATGGGGATAGATTGCGCAGTAGGTGAATGTGGGGATAGATTGCACTGTAGGTGAACGTGGGGATGGATTGTGCTGTAGGTGAATGTGGGGATGGATCATGCTGTAGGTGAATGTGGGGATGGATCTGCTGTAGGTGAATGTGGGGCTAGATTGCGCTGTAGGTGAATGTAGGGATGGATTGTGCTGTAGGTGAATGTGGGGATAGATTGCGCTGTAGGTGAATGGGGGATGGATTGCACCATAGGTGAATGTAGTGATGGATCGTGCTGTAGGTTAATGTGGGGATGAATTGGCTGTCTTAGCACAGAAGATGACAGCAGAGTGTGTCTTCAGCGTCAGGGGAGGAAGTGCTAACTCTTCCATCCCCCGCCTGTGATCCAATGAAGCAGAGTCCGGCCCCATCTATTATAGAGAGGCCCCAGGGGTACACTATGATCTGTGTGATGGCGTGCACTGGGAGTTGTGCACACTGATGATGAATGAACTGTGAGCTCCACGGACAGAGGCGGCAGCAGAAGCTCAGCATCCGCAGCAGGAGCTGTGACGTCACCGTGTGGCTCCGGGGCGGCACTGCGGCCAGAGGCAGCTGACAAAGGGACGGAGAGGCGGCGGGACCTGGAGAGAAGGTAGACATAAGGGGACCGGGGAGGGGGAGGAGGAGGGATCGGACGGCATGCCAGCCCGGGGAGGAGGGACACTAAACAGCCATTGACTGACTGCCTCATCTGACCCGAATACATACCGAGATGGAGTAAACAGTGTGTGTGTGTATGTGATCCCTAGTGTGCACAGCCGACATGGTGTCCTCACACTGCTCCACTGCTACTGCATGTGCTATACCCCTTCCACACAGTCCATGGATCTGTTATCACACAGCCAGGGGGATCTGTTATCACACAGCCAGGGATCTGTTATCACACAGCCAGGGATCTGTTACCACACAGCCAGGGATCTGTTACCACACAGCCAGGGATCTGTTACCACACAGCCAGGGATCGGTTATCACACAGCCCGGGGATCGGTTATCACAGTGTTTTTCAACCTTTTTTGTGCAAAGGCACACTTTTTTCATGAAAGAAATCACGAGGCACACCACCATTAGAAAATGTTAAAAATTTTTACCTCTGTGCCTATATTGACTATATATAAAGTAATTCTCTTGAATAGGAATCAAATAAACACAAATAAATTATTTTATAATTACTTTATTATGAAATAATAAAGTATTTTATAATTGTTCATATTTCTGTTCAATCCATGACTTAACTTCACACTTCACACAAATACGTTTTATATTGACGGCACACCCGAAAATATCTCACGGCACACTAGTGTGCCGCTGCACAGAGGTTGAAAAACGCTGGGTTATCACACAGCCCGGGGATCGGTTATCACACAGCCCGGGGATCGGTTATCACACAGCCCGGGGATCGGTTATCACCAGCCCGGGGATCGGTTATCACCAGCCCGGGGATCGGTTATCACACAGCCCGGGGATCTGTTATCACACAGCCCGGGGATCTGTTATCACACAGCCCGGGGATCTGTTATCACACAGCCAGGGCTTGCGTCATAACACAGTCTGGGGATCTGTCATAACACAGTCTAGGGATTTGTCATCACACAACCTGGAGATCACATGCAGCTCGGGGGATTGTCATCACACAGTTATCCCCCACCATCTTCACAGTTGTGAAATGACAAGGTGAAATGGCATCAGTAACCCCCAATGCTGGAAAAGCCTATAGACTGGCATTGTTGGTTCACACCTAGGACCTCTCACACGTTCCCCATTCACTAGAATAACAAAGCAAACATGGGTCACGTTGGATCACAAGGCCTCATTCACACATCTAGAAGTGCCAGCTGCAGCAACAATCCATCCAGGAAGTAAAAAAAAAACACCAGAATCAAGTAAACAAAGACATCAGCACATTTGAAAACAATGTGAGAAAAATTCCCAGAGGAACACTCATGCACATCAGAGCTGTCAAAAATTAACAAGGAGGTTGCAGTGTATGCGGAGAAAATCAAATGACTACCAAAAAGGTCGTGTTTATCCTTCGCTAACTGGCATCAACCAAACCAGACATCGCAGAAAGGGCAACTGGGCCCAAGACACCACCAGGCAAGCTCCAGCTGCAGAGATCACCCTACAGAAAACCCGTCTACAGACATTGAGGGTCCAGCAACCAGCCAGTCCAGGACAACTGCAGGCCCACACAATATGGCATCTTCCTCTCTCTCTTCTTCTTTTTGAAATGGCCCAGGAGGAAATAATCAAGGAGGGGCGGAAAGAAGCAGGGATCCCATTCCCCTGCACAACACGAGATGACAGGGTACAAGGAGAGCCAGCTAATGAACCTTTCAACAAGAGTACTTGGGTGAGTGAGATGAAATTTTTGGGTATGGGCTTGTCCTTTTGCCTGATTTTTAGATGTAATAACTTTCAGTTCGAAACTGAGACCTATAAACTAGAATGCAGTCTCTTTTAGCAATAGCACATTGCTAACTCATCAATCACCCAACCCCATGGCCAAGTTTAAAGCCCAAAGCACTTTTGTGCCACCTGAGAATTACTTCACCATTGATACCTACATCAAAAGAGTCAAACATCATACATATGGGGACAGTAACAAGAGAGTACAGTGCACCAGTCTCAGCAACTCGGAACTGTCTGCACTACAAGAAGACACTACCATCATCACCAAATCATCAACCTCGTTGACACATGGGAGGCAGTAGTGGTGATGGACTACCAGGACTATAGAAATGGTCTTGTATCTGATAAATCCAGCTATACACCCATCACGCATGATCGGATTAGTGACATAGCAAAATAGCAGAAACTATTACTGATAGTAGAAACTATCTTCACTGATTAACATGGCTCTGGGCAATAGGTGGATTACAGAAGAGGTTGCCGGGTATCTGTATTTGGAGCACCCCAATACTCCAGCAATATATAGCTTACCATAGATTTACAAAGGCCTGTGTCCTCTAAAACTCAGACCCATACTCTCAGGCACCAACTCAATGACACGACCTCTTGCCATTTACATTGACTGTGTGCTCCAACCTCTTGTTAAGCCACAATCCTCATATACCAGAGACACCAGCAACTTTTTTTTCTAATAAACTCCCGGGTATTGAGACATCTAATCCAGAATGGACCCTGCTCACGATGGACATTTCATCAATATATACGTGCATTCCCGCTGGTCTGGGACTTGAAGCCTGTGGATATTTCTTACAAAAAAGGGACACCCCCAACCGATTCTAAGATTATTCTTGATGGATCGCATTGGGTACCCTGTTTTTTTTAGTGTTTAGATAGCCCAGCCCAAAGTAACCTGATGGCCATCCTACCCAGTCCCTAATGCCAATAGCTGCACAGTACTGTCTGCCATAGCTACAGGATCCCCAGGCAGCCCTACGTGAGTTTTATTCTTTGCATACCTTATTTTTCTTTTCCTCCCCATTCTTCTGACAGTGGCCATTTTTACTAAGGGCAGATCAATAAATCACCCTTTACTTCCTGGAACTCTGGCACATATGAGTAGTACATATGACCATGTACAACATCTTTCTCCAGTTTGCAGGTGAGATTTCCGAGCATGGTGGTGTAGTTTCTGGAAAGAGGCTGTGGTTCGCTGAAGATAGAACAGAAAGAAAACAGATTGCACAACTTAGTGCATTAAATGTGGAAATATGGGTAGTGATTGTAAAACGTAGGGGAATGCACTCACAAATAAGCAGGGAAGTACACTTAAAGCACGGAATCCAAATCTTAACGGACTTCCAACAGGATTCTTCAACAAATCCAAATGTGTAGAACCTGCTTGGCTGGGACAAAGAAACATAACGAACAAACGATCCAGATCTGATTGTGTATGAGTCCCAATATGCTTTATTAAAATAAAAACTGATTGCAATCACGTCAGTATTCTAGTGTAGGTGGTGCGAGAAAGAAATGCTGAGATCCTTTCCTGCCAGTACGACCCCCCCCCGTCTGGTGTGAGCAGATAGAGGGGTTCACATTGCTCAGTGTGATATGAGGGGGCAGGGTTCAGGGGTTCACATTGCTCATTGTGATATGAGAGGGCAGGGTTCAGGGGTTCACATTGCTCAGTGTGATATGAGGGGCCAGGATTCAGGGGCTCACATTGCTCAGTGTGATATGGGGGGACAGGGTTCAGGGGTTCACATTGCTCATTGTGATATGATGGGCCAGGGTTCAGGGGTTCTTATTGCTCAGTGTGATATGAGGGGACAGGGTTCAGGGGTTCACATTGCTCAGTGTGATATGAGGGGCCAGGGTTCAGGGGTTCTCATTGCTCAGTGTGATATGAGGGTCCAGGGGTTCACATTGCTCAGTGTGATATGAGGAGCCAGGATTCAGGGGTTCATATTGCTCATTGTGATATGAGGGGGCAGGGTTCAGGGGTTCACATTGCTCAGTGTGATATGAGGGGCCAGGATTCAGGGGTTCACATTGCTCAGTGTGATATGGGGGACAGGGTTTACGGGGTTCACATAGCTCATGGTGATATGAGGGGTTCAGGGGTTCACATTGTGATATGAGGGGCCAGGATTCAGGGGTTCACATTGCTCAGTGTGATATGAGGGGCCAGGGTTCAGGGGTTCTCATTGCTCAGTGTGATATGAGGGGCCAGGGGTTCACATTGCTCAGTGTGATATGGGGGGACAGGGTTTACAGGGTTCACATAGCTCATTGTGATATGAGAGGTTCAGGGGTTCACATTGTGATATGAGGGGCCAGGATTCAGGGGTTCACATTGCTCAGTGTGATATGAGGGTCCAGGGGTTCACATTGCTCATTGTGATATGAGGGGCCAGGATTCAGGGGTTCACATTGCTCAGTGTGATATGAGGGGCCGGGGTTCAGGGGTTCCCATTGGTCAGTGTGATATGAGGGTCCAGGGGTTCACATTGCTCAGTGTGATATGGGGGGACAGGGTTTACGGGGTTCACATAGCTCATTGTGATATGAGGGGTTCAGGGGTTCACATTGCTCATTGTGATATGAGGGGCCAGGATTCAGGGGTTCACATTGCTCAGTGTGATATGAGGGGCCAGGGTTCAGGGGTTCTCACTGCTCAGTGTGATATGAGGGCCCAGGGGTTCACATTGCTCAGTGTGATATGAGGGGCCAGTGTTCAGGGGTTCACATTGCTCAGTGTGATATGAGTGGCCATGTTTCAGGGGTTCAAATTGCATACCATGATATGAACAACCATATTTCAATGGTCCAATTTCAACAACCATATTTCAATGAACAACAATATTTCATATTGCTCATTGTGATTCATATGATTTTTGTCGCCCATCAACAAAAATCGACTTTTGGTGAATGATGGAGTCGTTATCCCTGCTGCTATCCATTCTGAGCCTGATGACGGGGACCCTACGTGGCCCCGAAAGTACTTGCATTTTGAATGACCGTTGTCATTAAAAGTTTTTGATTCTACTTTTGGAGTGCTGGTGACATATTTTGGGGTTATCCTGCTGAGTCTCCTGAAATCCAGGCAGTGTATGGCCATCTCAAGTTTATTTTAATATGGAAATTATATATTTAATGTGAGGTTCTTTGTAATAGAATATTGTGTACATTTTACTAGATGTGTTTGTTGAATAAATAATGATATTTGGCAAACATTTTCAGTTATCCAGAAATAAGTACAGTACAGTGCAGCTTTTGGTGTATGTATGACACAGGGGAGCAGCTGCACAGCCATTTTGAAGGGATTATAGAGACAGGAATATGGCAGCATCTGCTGTGTCTTTGTTCTGTTATGTGGGACAGGACCCTTTTGTTTCACTGTAGCTGGGCGGGCCCCATCTTGTAAGGTTTGCTTCTGGGTCTAAGATTTCACTGACGTCATCACGGTTTGCAGACAAGTCAGCTCAGTGATTGGCTTGTCAGGCAAAAGTCAGCGTGAGATCTGAGGCTGTGACATTATAACCCTGTGCCTGACAAGAGGACTGCGGCCTGTTCTGTAAACACGGTCACATGACTAGCCACGTGGAGCTGAGCCTGTAAATGGCAGGGGGAGGGCAGGTTAGGCAACTGTTGTGCAATGCACAGTCATACCAGCTTTTAAATATCTGTTGAGAAAATAGAACGGCAGCTTAAGAAAAACATCTCTGCTTCAAAGACAGCATACATGCAAACAACTGCTGGTAACTAAAAGCTTCTATTGGTTATAGAAAGGTGTTGAAATTGCTCAGTGTGATATGACAGCCAGGGTTCAGAGGTTCACATTGCTCATTGTGATATGAGGGTTCAGGGGTTCACATTGCTCATTGTGATATGAAGAGCCAGCCTTCAGGGGTTCACATTGTGATATGAAGGGCCAGAGTTCAGGGGTTCACATTGCTCAATGTGTTATGAAAGGCCAGGGTTCAGGGATTCACATTGCTCTGTGTGATATGACGGCCAGGGTTCAGGGGTTCACATTGCTCATTGTGATACGAGGGGCCAAGGTTCAGGGGTTCACATTGCTCATTATGATATGACGGGCCAGTGTTCACATTGCTCATTGTGATATGAGGGGCCAAGGTTCAGGGGCTCACATTGCTCATTGTGATATGAGGGGCCAGGGTTCACATTGCTCATTGTGATATGAGGGGCTGAAGTTCAGGGGTTCACATTGCTCATTGTGATAGAAAGGGCTAGGGTTCAGGGGTTCACATTGCTCATTGTGATATAAGGGGCTAGGGTTCAGGGGTTCACATTGCTCATAGGAAGGTCATTAGAAGTTTCTATGTGGACAGAGCATACTACTTTGACATGCCTGGCCCAGTGACTGGTTCCCTTTAAATTCTGCATGAAATAATCTGAAGGACACTGTTCATGGTCAGGGCATTTCTTCCACTGGCCCTTTTTATCTAGTCAGTCTCACAATTTTATTTGTGACCTTAGTAGTAATTTTCTTGACAAATTAGCACTTTCGAACAACACAAATCTGTTGCATTGGTGGGAAAAAAACTACAAGCATTACAGATGTAAATGCCCATACACCAAGTCAGTGTATTTATACTGCATAGCTTTAAATGTAATCAATATCTACAGTCTGTCTGTCATAAAAATGTTATATTGAATTTAGTTATCCTGGATGCAGTTGTATTTTTTTCAGTTTTTGGAAACGATCCCCATATACTGCGTACCTTCTGTAGCTTGATATAACACACATTTTTATATGTTGTATGTACATATTGAATTGACATTTTAGCTTGCCACTATTTGCATTTATTGCAGTCACCTAGATCAGAATATTCTCCAGATTGCGGCTCTGATCGCTGGAAATCTGCTGATGTCCACAGGGATGTGGACACTTCCAGGATTGTTGATCTCCCGGGTCCTCTGCAGCTCTCATTGGATCCTACTGACCTTCACACATTGGAGAATCCAGTTGTGACATGAGGTCAGCAAAAGTTACCAGTGAGATCTGCGGGAGACTTAGGAGACACATTTGTCTGGACAGGTATGGTCACTCTTCTTTTACAGTTATGGCTTGATTTAAAAATGTAGTATAATGACATGGTCACTTGCCTAAGAATTTGGCTAGGGTAAAAATGATTCCTTTAGTAAATAAGCCCCGCTGCTATCCAGCATAAAACCAACATCTTCATGGACTAGAGAGACAGGTTACACTAGGGGTGTGTTGTTTTGAATTTTTTGTGCCATCAGGAATGTAAGCTCTTCCTCATATCTTCTGAATGATTTAACATGTACACATAGCTTTTAATAGACAATGCTAATGATGATTATGGATTACATTGAGTTCCATTGATATTTTACAGGCTGAATCATGGAATGGAATACAGCATATTAGCAGGTAAGATCCTCTTCTCCTCTGTCTGCTATAGGAATTGTGGCTTTGTGTGTTGTAGCTTTTTTTAAATTGCCAGCTTTAGGGAGCATGTCAGTGGGCGTTGTATTCCTGCGTTTGATGTGCATGTGGATGTCAAATGCACATCAGCAAGATCTAATTTACTTTAAAGCTGAACTCCAGACACAGCAATTTTTTGTTAAGCCTTTAGAGGTATGCATACCTTTAGGAAATATGTCTTTTTTTTCCCTTTCAGTGGTCTGTTCATGCTATAAACAAGATGAGTTTATTGCATTCTGATAGTCATAAAGTACCTATGTCCTCTCTAGGCGACCGCTGACTGCAGCCTGCTTATGTGTTGGGTGACCGATCAACTAACCACCATCAGTGTTGTAGCGCTGATCTGACCAAACCATCAAAATAAAATGTTACAGATCCTAAAGAAAGATTCACAAACCCGTATTGGAAGCAAAACACAAATGTCCGCACACACTGAATCCACACATGTCCGCACAAATGTCCGCACACACTGAATTCCAGTTGAAGCAGGGCTGGATTCAGGCATTAATTCTAAACAGCCCTGAGCCCAAAGTACAATTAATCTAATGCTTCTCTAGTGGATATTTTAGTGACCACATTTTAGTGACTTCTGTGACCATATCAGTTGTAGGATAGGTTACAGTGTGTATTTTTTCAATCAGTCTGATTAGGTGGAGAGCAAGACTGTGAAATTGGACAACCATGCAACACTTGGTATGGCTTTCCCCATGCACATATAATTACAAACCATGCAACATCATTTTTGTAAAACACACACTGATGCAATTATTGACATGAATGTGAACTTGCCACAAAACGGAGCACATGATGACCCTGGGAGGAGGTGAGGAGGTGTGTATACAGTAGATAATAGAAGGGGCCCAAGGACAGAGCCTTGGTGGACCCCCACAGGAAGAGGAGAGGAGGAGGTAGAGTTGGAGGTGACACTGAAGGTGCGCTGAGATAGGCAGGTGAACCATGAGAGAGCAGAGTCTTGGAGACCAAGGGATTGGAGTTTATTGAGGAAGAGTGGGTGCTCAACTGTGTCAAAGGCAGCAGAAAGTTTCAGAAGTATGAGTATAGAGTAGTGGCCATTGGTTTTAGTATATGTTTTAATTCAAACTGCCCAAGTATGTGACAGGCCTACTTTAAGCTGATCATATATCTGCAAAGCTTTAAAAAGACTGGATTTTAGGTATTCATTTCTTCCTAGTCAAGATTGCAGTATTAATGGAACATTGTACAGTAGATGGGATGGGACCGTTGTCATATTTCAAGGCTAATTACTTTCTGCTCCATTTCTATGCATGTCCCCAGGCACCTTAAAGAATCAGGTATTAAACAGAAAATTAGTCTTACTAGAACTGTAGAGCTGTCACCTGCAGAAGAATATTTTCCAAGCTCTTAAAATAAACCTGTCACTGTAGTAAAGCCAGACGAAGCAGGAAGATTCATTTTGTTATCTTCCAGAGCCCCATTGAAACTCCTGTACTTGGGGTCTTCTATCTGGAAATACAGACTTTTTGCTTGGGAAATGAGTGCCCGGCCTGTCCTGCAATGCAAGCCTCTCTGTTTCTGTGAGAAGCCCAGATTTAATGCAAGCATTCTTAAACTTATAAAATGTCTGATTAAGCTTGTTAAAAAAAGCTATAGCCAACACTCCAGTAAAGCTGAACCGGAGGCATACAAATATTATACACAGTCTAAATTTAACCTTGAAGACCAAACAGGATTTTTTGGTGGTTATGAAATGTGTGTCCTTGCTGTGTAGATAGTTGTAGAACTTTTTCCCCATTACTTGTATTCGACACTCTTATTTCCAAGGTCTTTGACCAGTTTCCATGCACAGCAAGACCAGTGCCACCAGCCTGATTACAGGACTACCCCTCTAGAATCCTGACCAGGAGGGCTTTATGATATTGTTCTAGGCATCATCAAGGGCCATTTCCTTGACCTGCTTCCACAGCCACGCTCCTTCTGAATAATACACAGAAACTGGCCATTTTATGCCCAAAGGTAAAAAGTCAATGATCCCTCCCAAGAGATGGCTCTGCCACTAGACATGCTGGGAGTTGCAGTATCCTTATCACTTTGTAAATGCTTGCTGAATCTGATCCTTTTCAGACTAGCACGTATAAAATATTTAGATATGCCTAAAGGGAAAATTCCAACTCTAAACCTCAGAAAATAATCAGGAAACCCTAGGCGAATCTCAGGTGTTCATACATACAAGGGAATTTATCAAAGCTGCAGACAAAATCTGGAGCAGATGTGCAAGGCAACCGAACAGCTTCTATCTTTCATTTTCAAATCTTAACTGAACAAACTGAAGAGAGGAGCTGATTGGTTGCCATGGGCAACTGCTCCAGATTTTGTCTGCTCCAGTTTTGATAAATTCCCCTCATGTTATTTAAGCATTTACATTATTGTAGTATTCCCTATGAATTAGCACTTTATCAGTTCAAACTCATACACATATTGCTTTATATCTGCTTTATTCTGAGTCTGGCCTTTTTGGTGGGAACAGGCGTAAAAAAAAAGTCTTAAAATAATCCCATGCCCACTGCTTTTCTTTTGAGGATCCTGTGAGGTGCTCTGTACACAGCCATTGTCTACAATTAGATCAGGTTCATTATAACAGCTCCTATTCTGCACACAGGGGCTCTGTATCTATGGAGGAGCAACATAGTCACTCGGATAGGAAGTGTGTTGGGACTAGAGAAAACACCATTCTCTTCTCCATAACCGAAGGGGGAGGTGTTCTGTAGCCCCAACACATTCCCTGATTATTTTGTTTTCTTCAACACTGCAGAGTGTAGAAGACAGCACCGGATTTCTTGCGTGTGTTTTTTTGTTCTTTTCAAACAGATATAACAAATTGCTTTCAATTGTATATTTGATAGACCTAAGGGAGGAAATAAGGGCTAGTTCACACCAAGCGCGGAGCAAAGCAGTTACAGAATGGATCAAAACTGCATCCAATGTATTCCAATGGTATTTTGGGCTCTATTTCACACCGCAGCGTTCAGTTCCAGATGTAAAAAAACTGCAGCAAGCCCTATTTTTCCTGCTCTGCAATGCATGCAAACACATCAAAAACGCACCCAAACTCCCTGGAACGCACTGAAAGCCCATTTTAGGCTTAAAAAAACAACAGCAACGGCAAAAACTCGGCAAAACACACTGTGTGCAGAAACGCATGCAGATCTGGTCTGCATTTGGTGTGAACACGCCCTAATAATCTTCTCTTAGGGCTTGTTCACACCAACTGCAGTGCGTTCCAGAGCGGTAGCTGCTGGAACGCACCGCAATCCCTCACAAAACTTCCCCTGCGTTCTGGGGCGGGAGGGTCGATCGGACACGTGACAAAACTTTGCCTGCATTCCGTTCCACTGCAAACACAACAAAAAGCAAGCAGCATTTTTTGCGTTTGCAGTGGTGCGGAACTCAGGCACAGTTTTGCAATCCGTCCGATCGCACTGCAGGCGGGGGGGTGGGGGCTGAAAGCGGTGCCATTGAATTCAATACACCACCATGCCCCCTCCCGCCCCAGAACGCAGGGGGAAGTTTTGTGAGGTTTTGCGGTGCGTTCCAGCAGCTACCGCTCTGGAACACACCGCAGTTGGCGTGAACAAGCCCTAAGAGAAGATTATTGTCAGGGCTTACAAGCAGGGCCAGGAAGACTCAGCAAAGACCCATGGGAAGCAAGGGTTATGTCACATGTAGCTAATGCAAAGGATGACGGAAATGTTGAACTTGAGCGTTTAAGACTTGAATGTTTCACATTGTGGTGGTTGAGGAGGTTCTGATGATGACATGTGGCATGCAGAGAACAATTTACTTGACGGTCCTCCCTGTCACACGCACTGCTGTTTACTTCCTATAGACTCAATCTTAATGGCAGTTATTTATTTTGCTCCTGCACAGCTAGTCATTCCTTATCAAAAGAACTAGTCAGAGCAGCTATCCAGCCAGCATTTTATCAGTCTGTTGCAAGAGCTTGTGACAAAAGAGTCCTATAAATTGTGCACTGTGCAGTCACTGATTAAATACCCCCAATAAAGGGTTTAGCACGGCTATCTCTGAATCTAACATCTATTCCATAACACACAGTCTATGACCTGCTGCAAAATCCCCTACTTGAGGATGTTATCTCTGTTTTTAATAGAAGAAAGACCATGTTGTTTATTTACAACAGTTATTTATGATAAGCTGCTTGTAGTCTTGAGCCCAGAAGATGGCAGTCACTACATATAAAACAGTCTGCAAATATATATATTGTGTCATATTCAAGTCATAAACACTTCGCAGTGTGAATGGACCCTTAAAGGGCACCTGTGCTTTCAAAAAATAACACTTTGGGGTCTATCCATAAAAAATGTGCACATCTGTTCATTCTGTGCGAGTTAAGAATACGTTATGTTTCCCTTTTACTCTGAGTATGAATTAACCTATTGAACATTTATCTGTAAAAAATAAGCCAAGGCAACTAGATCGGCTGGTCGGATGACCAGTCAAACATCTTTAAGAAAAATACAGCAAGTCCAGTTGCTTTGACTTATTTTTTACAGATATACCATGACCTGGATACATGAGAACCTTCACAGACCTATTGAACATTTGACCAGAAGAGAAAATACACTAAAAACATGTTTTTTGCCCCATTCTCACAACATCTGGGTAACTCGCACAGAACAAATGTAAATGCAGTTTCGAATGTACACTTCTCATACTTTCAGCTTGTTTCAGCATTCTTTACATGCAGAGAAAAGCACTTTGCTACTGATATGAAAATCTCGACCATCGGAGATGGTCAGTAGATTACCATAATCCATATGCATACACCCTATGAGAACGATGTAGTCATCTTGGAATTACCCTGCCGTGCAGCTGACTGTTGTGCTATAAACTGTAAGTAAAGGAAAAACATTGTTTGTTTTGGTTTCAAGCTTTTATTGCTGTCTGAGTCCCTGTCAGGGAGATCCACACCTATTTGTACTGGTGACCTTTGTTACCGAGACAGAAAATGCAGAAAAATCCAAAGTTTTAGAGTTGTCACTAGAACCAGAGTCAAAGGTAAATCGTCCAATCAGGATACCTGTCCAGATGAAAACTCTATAAGGGATGCCGATACAGAGTACCGATACCTGTGCTTCCGCTGGCATGGAGCTGGTTTCCGGGCAATCAAGAAGCCGAGCGGCATGTGACAGCTCCCGCCTTCCTGATCGGCCGGGAAGTCGGCTCTATGCTGATTGGCTGGGAAGCCGGCTTCCCAGCCAATCAGCACGGAGCCGGCTTCACGGCCAATCAAGAGGCAGGTCATTATTTGCCACCCAGCTTCCTGATTGCCAAGGAGGCCGGCTCCACGTTCCCTTATGGGAATGTCGGTCAGAGGAAATTTTCCTCTGACCAGATGTTCCGATATCAGGGAAGGTATCGGAGCATTTGGGCGAATACAAGTAATCGCACAAATACTCTGTATCAGTACCGATACTAGTATCGGTATCGGAGTACCCCTAGTGTTGATGCATGGCATGAGGATTGCCACCCTATTCTATGGGGCCTGTTTACACCTACCCACTATGTTTTGTTTCAGTGCATTAAGAAAAATAGTACAGGTGCTTTTTTTTTGCTTTTTTTGGTGCATCAACGCTCATTTTTGGCCCCATAGACTTGAATGGCAGTGTACGAAAAATGCATTTAACACGCATTTGCCATATGCATGGTGCCGTTCTTGGGCTTGCCATCAGAGGAATTCCTTCTTCCAGCTTTTTTCTTTCTGGATGCTGAAAAACAATTCAAGTTCATATTAACTGACTGACTTTAAATTGCTGGTGAATTATTATTCACTGCTAGCCTGTCTCAGAATTATTTTAATCAGGTTTACTGCCAGGATATTTTCAGAATGTGCGTAAAACAATGGCGGCATCTGCAAAAAAACCCCAACAAGAACTCTTCCACGTGTGCTGTTTTCCAGGAGCTCAGACGATAACAGCTGACTTAACATGACAATCAGGTCCACCAAACAATGCAACTGCAGCAAAGAGAAGTAGGACATCTTTGTAAACCCAGGAAGAGCACAATATACTTACTGCTTTACAGGTGAAACTCGAATAATTAGAATATCGTGCAAAAGTAATTGCAGTAACTGCTGCAAAAGGGGCCCAAACCAAGTACTGAGTACATATGCATGCTTGTACTTTTCAGAGGTCCGATATTGTTCTATGTACAATCCTTGTTTTATTGATTGCATGTAATAATCTACTTTTTTGAGATTGTGGATTTGGGGTTCTTGGGGTTTTCATGAGCTGTAAGCCATAATCATCACAATGATGACAAATCACGGCTTGAACTATCTTGCTTTGCATGTAATGAGTCTATCTCATATATTAGTTTCACCTTTTAAGTTGCATTAGTGAAATAAATGAACTTTGCACGATATTCTAATTATTCGAGTTTCACCTGTATGTGGCAGTACAATGAAGATAACTGCCACGTTTATATAATACAATCATCCCTTCACATCACCCCTCATTGTGTTTACAGCCATTCTACCAGCACAGAGCAGAATCAGAATATTATACATAAGTGAAGTGTTACAAACATCTCTTTATTACCGGTCACTTTCTTATTCATGTGTTTATTTCTGCCCGCTTTTGTGATTATCAGTCTGTAGTTGTAATGTGTTGTACTGCAGTATGTTACATTTAAATGTCCAGAACAAAACGTAATGTTTCTGTAGGCACCTGTACCCCCTCCCCAAACTATAATCTATAACATTTTAATGCCAGAACCCTTAAGGGAGAACTATGGGGTCAGTGTTTTTCCCCATAGTTCTCCTTGGGGTAACGGGAGGACACAAACTAGCGTCCTCCCGTTACCCTAAGCTCAGTATACCACGAGCTACAGCTCGCGGTATACTGAGACGCCGCACCTGGAGCGGATCCCAACTTAGATGACGGGATCCGCCCAGCTGCGTGAGTGACAGCTGGCTCTGCCTATCTAGAGGCAGAGCCAGCTGTACCCTCCCCCGTCCATTCCGCCAGTCAGCGCTGGCAGATCGGAGCGGGGAGAGGGGAATCCAGCCCCTCCACCTGTCACGGCAGAGAGCCGTGACAGGATCGAGAGGTGAGGGAACCCGGTATGTGTTCTCTCACCTCCCGATCTACTGAGCCGACCTGTGACAGTCTCATTGTCACAGGTCGGCTTAGAACTATGTGGTGAGTGGAAATCACTCATCTCATAGTTCTCCTTTAAGGCTCCATTCACACAGGACACGCGTGGAGCCGCTCTAAACATAAAAATCAATGCACTTTAATATGCATTGTTTGGTCTTTTGGTACGGCGCGCAAAATAGTGCAAGCGCAAATTTTTTTACTTATTCCACACGTTCGCGGCTATAGTAATAGCCAAGAAATTAGCACAATCCTTGCAGATTAAAGATTTTAGCGTTTCCGTGCTGCACGTTGTTCACCGCATGTGAATGGAGCCTAAAGCAACTCCCACAGAAAAGGCATTGAATACTTATCGCTCGTGCTGCCTGCGCCACTGATCTCTGCAGTGGTAAAAAGAAAAACACAATCTGAAGATCCTGGAGAATCTAACACTGCCAGGAGTATTTGGCTCTGGTCACCTGCTACATTTAGTGGTTCAGTGTGCCGACCCCTTTGTCATTACTGTGTCCCATATTGACATAGGGGCTGGTCGAAAGAACCACGGCGTAGAGCGGGGATCAAGCAATTGACTCTCCTGGAAGTAACATTTTAGCATAAAATAGTATTAGTAAAAGTCACTCTAACCGGTCCCTCCCCTATAACCTGCCCCTCGAATAAATACTTAACATCTAACCTAACCCTGGAAAGTACACCTTCCATAATAAATGTATGGGCACTTTCTTCTGCAGTCAGTAAATTAAAGTGATGTTAAACTCAGGAGTTAAATCTAAGGGCCCCTGTTCACACCAGATGCAGTGCGTTCCGGCCCAATTCTGGCCAGAACGCACTGCCTCACATTGCGGCCGGCTCTCTTTTATGTGTGGCATGAGGGGGCGTGGCGGGCCATTGAAGTGAATGGCACAATAGCCATGCCCTCCGGCCCGCAATGCGATCAGCCGCACGGGATCGCAAGGCACATTATGCCTGTGGTCCGGTGCGATCAAAATGCTGCAAGCACTATTTTGATCGCACTGGACCGCAGACATAATGTGCCTTGCGATCCCATTGGTGCTGAAGGGCGGGCTATTCACTTCAATGGACCGCCACGCGCCCTCCTGCCTCACAAAAAAGTGAGCCGGCCGCAATGCGAGGCAGTGTGTTCCGGCCAGGATCGGGCCGGAACGCACTCCATCTGGTGTGAACGGGCCCTTAAAAATGCATTCAAGTACCTATTAACAAAAATGTATCTTATTTGTGTACCACTGGGCTGTAGATCCTCAAATCATCTCTGAATTGGTGCTGACACTGTCCTTCCTTCTAGAGGGTGGCTACTTTTGTTCCCCATGGTCCCTGTGTGTGTTGTAAAGTAGCCACCGCTCCAAGCTCACTCCTATGATGGACTACAATCTCACATTTAGTTTACTAATTTGTTTTGAAATTGTATTCCATCACTTGAATGGAGTGGTGGCTACTATACGACACGCGCACATTGATTTGAGGATCTACAGCTGAGTGAAACACAAATGAGATACATTTTGTTAATAAGTACTTGAATGCATTTTTAAGATTTAACTCCTGAGTTTAGTGTCCCTTTAAATCTCCTTCGGCAGTGGCCAATCTGAATATCTTGGTGTTTTCCGCCTGATGACAGTTGAAATAAGCAGTATAGTGAGAAGGCAATGAAGAAGGGGTTAATACGCCTAGCTGTGGTAACTGGAGTTCCAGCATTTTGGCAGTGGTAGAGTGACATGGCATCTGCTGTGTGAAATAAGAGAGATTGCAGTTCTAATGTTGCTTTCTCCTCCTGCAGAACTGACAGGATGCACTAGAGGTCTTCCCAGCACCAAAAAAATAAAATTTGAAAGTCCGGGAGACAAAAGGAGCTGAGGCGGAAATACGGACTCTGTGCCAATGCAGCAACAGAAACGGCAGCCAGAGCTAGTGGAAGGAAACCTTCCTGTGTTTGTCTTTCCGACTGAACTTATATTTTACGCCGATGATCAGACAACACACAAGCAAGTATTAACGTTGTACAACCCTTATGAGTTTGCCTTAAAGTTTAAAGGTAAGTTTGATCACCAGTCTTTCAGCTGTGCACATGTTTTCATATTATCATGACTGAAGACATGCTGTAAATAAAGATTCAGCATCACATCATGGAAATAGTTAAAGGAGTGGTGTGTTTTCATGCTAAGATCGGATTTGTTTATACAGCTTGACTTTCAGCGTTACTGTGCCCAGTTTGAAGAAGAGGAGGGTACAGTGATTTTTTTAAACTAGAAGACAGACAAGAGAGGCTGCGGCGGGGAACGGGGAAACTGATTAGCAAAACAATTGGAGTGGAGCTGTTCATATTAACATTTTAGTTTTGTATCTTTCATTTTGATTATTGTAAGGTGAGTCTAAAGAAACCAAAACTGATAAACCATGAGTCTTTCATCCCTAAAGTGACACTTAACTCAGGAATTAAATCTTAAAAATACATTCATATTGTTAAATTAACTATTAACAATAGTGTATCTTCTTTGTGTATCACTCGGCTGTAGATCCTCAAATAATCTCTGAATTGGTGCTGACACTGTCCTTCCTTCTGGAGGGTGGCTACTTTTGTTCCCCATGGTCCCTGTGTGTGTTGCGTTGCTTGCTCCTGTGATGGACTACAATCTCACATTTATTTTACTAATTTGCATTGAGATTGTAGTCCATCACCGGAGTGAGCTTGGAGTGGTGGCTACTTTACAACACACACAGGACCATGGGGAACAAAAGTACAAAGGGGGCAAAACCAATGGAGCACTAGTTAAATTGGCAAACCATGGCAGAAAAATAACTGTATTGACACTTACATGTGGATCCAGGGACCAGAGGATGGACAGCCTGTGTGGAAGCTGTGAACGAGGAGAGGGCTAGCAGAGCGGGGACTCAGTCCGTGGCACCGCTGAATTAATGCGGGATCTGGGCGGTGTGAGGCAGACTCGGCGGTGTGGGGTGCAGGCTAGGCTGCTGTGGCCGCGGCTGTAGATGTCAGTGCTCGGTCTCTGTCAGATCAGACTGTAGCAGCGCTTCCCCATCCGAGAGCGCTGTTTATGTCCTTTTGTTTTTTTGGGGAACAAAAGTAGCCACCCTCCAGAAGGAAGGACAGTGTCAGCATGAATTCAGAGATGATTTGAGGATCTACAGCCGAGTATTACACAAATAAGATACATTTTTGTTAACAGTTAGGGTACTTGAATGCATTTATAAGGTTTAACATTTGAGTTTAGTGTCACTTTAAATCTATACAAGGGAAATTATAAAAAAATAAAAAAAAACTCATCCAAATGGTCTGTTATACCAAAAAGCTGCATGAGTGTGTAGCAAACATATTTGTTTTGCTGGAAACTTTTAAGTAATTTTACCCTTTGGTTTTTGTGTATTTCCACTTTTGCAGCCAAATTGGTATAACACCTACACTATTTGTTACATGTTCCCATTCACATTATATAACTTTAAAAAAGAATGTTTAAAAAAACGCTGCTTCCATTTTTAAAGGGGTTCTAAACCCTCGTTTTTTTTTGCCTAATATCTACTGCTAGCAAGCAGTAGATATAGGCAAAAAGTTTCGTTTTTTTTAAAAAACCCGCTTTAACAGCGTTTTACACTTACCGTGTTATCGCTGCGCGCTCCCGCCCGAGAATCTGAAACTGATCGAGCGTCCGCAAAGCATCTTGGGGCGGGCGCATGCGCAGTTCGCATTTTCAGCAGGGAGACGAGCAGAGACGCAAGGTAAGTCTATGGACGCATGCACCCGCATGCAGACACCGCTGGATCGGAAGTGCCTGCAGGGACAGAGGACTCAGCGCTGGATCGGAGAGCCGCCGCACCGCTGGAGGGACAGATGAGAACATCAGAAAAGAAGATCGGAATAAGAGACATCATTTAAGGTAAGTGCTAACATTAACATGGGGGGGAGGGAATGTTTTTTTGACTTTAATGTCACTTTAAGTGCTTTATACTTGCTCAAAGACGAACTCTGGGCATTTTAAAAATGAACCCTTGCAACGGGGCTACCTCCACTCCTCAAGGGTTAAGTGCTCGTTTTGGCCTGGGGCAGACCTGGGCCTTTTATCTGGCTCTTTTTCCCTGTCCAGCCTACGATCAGGGCATGGACTGATCGCTGACCTGTGCTCGCTTATGGCTGGCTGTCACTGAATGCGCCAGCCTCCAAGGCCGGACTGCGTTCCTCCTCAGTCTTTGGTTGCTAGGACCGTTGGGATCACGGCAACCAATGACATTCAGGGTTCCCCTCCTCTGCAGTCATTGGTTGCTAGGACCGCTAGGTGGTCCTATCAACCAGTGACAAATGTCTTCTTGCCCCCATCTTTACCAGCATCCTTTTCTTCCATCTTCTCCTGCAGCTTCACCTTCTGGCTCCCTGTGGCCTGTAAAACAAACAAAAAAGGTATGTGCCACGTACTTAGTATGTCATACAATGCGGGGACAATAAGGCTTCATTCCGGGCCAGTTCACACCTATGCCATGGCGGAGGTTGTGCACAACACAACTACTGTGCGTTACAGTGCAGCAGGGACCGAGGATCAGGTTGGTATATCTTTTTTTTTTAACCCTAGACCAAAACAAACACTTAACCCTTGTGGGGCTAACCCCACTGCAAGGGTTCATTTTTAATATGCCCTATAAAATCCTACCTAGAGAGGGCTGTGGAAGTTATGTCTACTCTAATTACCTCTGCTGTCTGTACACTGCTGGCAGGTTTTATTTTATTTATGTATCAGAAATATCTAAAAAGGTAAATAATATTTCACAAAATATTTAAGGTACGCTGTGTGAAACATGACAAACATATAACGGGGTTTTTCTCAAATTTGACTGCAAACGTGGAAGTGCACTTTAAGTAGGTCCCCCTAGAAATCAGATCCAGCTGTCATCTTCCAGGATTCCTTAGACCCATTTGTCAGACAAAGGCATCTAAGGAATCAGAAAGGCTTGTACCTTTAATAACAAGTGAGCCAATAAAGGGTATCACTTAAACTTCAGACTTTCTGCACATTTCATTGGCTGAAAGAACAGATGTGTTTACTGAGTCAGTGTGCTCACGTGTATGAGCATCACATGACCCATGAACATGCTCCTAATGGAATGCAGAGATGTCAGGAAGTAGAAATAACACTGTGGTTTAGCTCACTCAAGCACACTGTGTTTACTTCAGTGTTGTAGTTTTTCCTATGCCCAAGGCAAAAATAAGTGAACCTTATCATGAGAAGAAAGGCAGGTTAAAGATTAAGGTCAAGTGTGATCAGCTTGTCTATCAAGTGCAGTAACTGACTAATGTATGCAATTAATACATCAAATTCTTTTTTTAGATCAATCAGAATTTTTGAATTGATCTTGGGGGATTTTTTTCTTGTTGTTGATGCTTCACATGTGTCTGCTGTTTTTTTTTTTTTATTGAATCAAAAAGATGATTGTTTATCAATAAAGTTTAATTTGAAAGATTTGTATTCATATTGTAAAAGGTCAAATAAATACATTGATTATAACACACATACTACAACAACTATCAAGAAGATGATCATACATATGTGCATTTTTCAGCTTGTCCAGGTGTTCCTTTTTTTTTTCTTCTTATCTATGCTAGACAGGTTTAAAGTGTATCTAACCTCCCCCCCAAAAATAAAAATATTAGCCTGGAGATTGAAAACTGGTGCATACACTACATCTAAAGATTGGTCAGCTGCAAAATATAAAATGTTTTTGGGTTTAGTTATACTTTAAAGGAGAACTATGAGGTCAGGGCTTTTCCCCATAGTTCTCCTAAGGGTAACGGGAGGACACAAACTAGCGTCCTCCCGTCTCCCTAAGCTCAGTATACCGCGAGCTACAGCTCGCGGTATACTGAGATGCCGCAGCCCCCCCAAAAGAATTTGATGTATTAATTGCATACATTAGTCAGTTACTGCACTTGATAGACAAGCTGATCACACTTGACCTTAATCTTTAACCTGCCTTTCTTCTCATGATAAGGTTCACTTATTTTTGCCTTGGGCATAGGAAAAACTACAACACTGAAGTAAACACAGTGTGCTTGAGTGAGCTAAACCACAGTGTTATTTCTACTTCCTGACATCTACTTCCACATTACTGTCGAGATCCACCCAGCTGCGGGATTGACAGCTGACTCTATATATCTAAAGGCAGAGCCAGCTGTGCCCGCCCCCTCCCCAATCCATCCTGCCAACCAGCGCTGGAGGATCGGACAGGGGAGGGAGCGGGGAATCCCTGCAGGGAGCCGTGAGTGACAGTCACCACTCTTTTAGGGATAGATCGAAAAGTGAGCGACGCTATGTGTTCGCTCACTTCCCGATCTACAAGTTTCATTGTCACAGGTCGGCTAGAACTATGAGGCTGAGTGATTTTCACTCGCCTCATAGTTCTCCTTTTAAAGGGTCTATTTCTAAATGTATTTACACAACTTAACCCAAGATTCACACATATTTTACATTGGATTTAATTGGAAAAATTAGTAAAATCCAAGGTGGAATTTTTGTGAATCTTGTGTGAAAGCATTTATAACGTGTATGTCTAAGAAACATTGTTTCATCAAGATATTACTGTCAAATGACAGTGATCATCAGGTTGGAGCTGTGACCATGGCCAAAACAAAAATATAGCCGATGAGCAGTGCCACCGATGTCATAAATAAACACTAAGATACCCATTAATCATTTCTTTCTCCTCCAGTTCTCTGTACGTCCCCAAACAAGTACGCCGTTGTTGATGCTGCAGGTGCAGTGAAGCCACAGTGCTGTGTTGACATGTAAGTACTACTCTGATTGTGACCCTGTTACATAATTAAACAAAACTTTAGCAAACACTTACCTATAGGACCTGGTTCACACTGAACATTTTGTAGCGCTTTTTCTGCACTAAAAAAACTCTCAAAAAATATGCCCCCCTTTTTTTTGGCATATTACAGCTCGTTTTGGCCCCATAGACTCAATAGGGAACGCTTAAAAACGCGCGGTTGCTGTGTTTTTACGCGTGTTTTATGCACCTTTGCTCATTATCATCAATGAGCTACAATTTGCTCACAAAAACGTGCCATTTTGAGATATGCGCATAAAAACACACACAAAAGTGCATCAAAAACACACGGAAAAACGCTGTTATCTAGGTCTGAACCCAGCATAAAGGCACAACAGAATACTTACCTTGCCTGCTTCCCGCTGCTAAACACTTCTTTGATCTTGAAAATATGCACTCTGGCAGCAATGTGTGTTTTATTGATCTGTCGAATGCAAAGATCCACAGATCCTGCAAAGCCCCCGAGACCCGGCAGAGCCCTTCACAGATCCTGCACAGCCCCCCGAGACGCTGCAGTCTCAGCGGGCTGTGCAGGATCTGTGGTGGGTTCTGCCCACTATAGACCTCACAGAGCTCACCACAGATCCTGCAGAGCCCCCCCACAGATCCTGCAGAGACCGGGGCTTTCCCACCACAGTCCTCTTACCTAGCACGGGAAACCTAATCTCTTCCACTGCCCGACCGCTTCGGAACATGGCCTCCTCGCCCTCGATGCCCGATAGTCGCATCTTCGCCGCCCGACTGGAGCTCCGGCGGCGCATCTCGCCTCCTCCATCGTTGTCTCTGCCCCCCGCCTCCTCCGTCTTCGCCTAATTGTAGGAGAGCCAACAACATAAGCCAATCAGGCCCTATTTTATTGTGCAGCGTTGCCAGTTTACATGTGTCCCAAGTACTGAAAGTTAAAGGGGAATGTTTAGGAAGCTTACAGGAAGAGAACAGCAAATGGATGACCCTAGCAGCCTGATGAAGATCATTGGCAGTCAGGTAATACAGGAAGCAAAAGGTTCACATATACTGTATGTATTGGGAATCCGTATTTCACTGTTTGGGCAAACTTCACTGGAAAGTAAAATCCTGCCTTTTATTAAAGAATAAGATTGTTCTGCATAATTAATTTTAAGATGGCAAAGCAGTGCTTTACAGTAACTTTAGATGAGGGCTTTTGGGTCACATTGCCACCCAAATGTTATCATGCTTCCAAACAAATGCATTGTACAATCTTTCTTCTATCCTTTAGTGTTATCCGGCACAAAGATGTCCGAGCCAGTCAATTTGGCGTTATCGATAAATTTCGCCTTCAAGTGTCCGAACAAAGCCAGAGAAAAGCACTGGGACGTAAAGAGGTAATCGCAATGCTGCTTCCGTCCGCTAAGGAGCAACAGCACAAAGAGGAGGAGGAAAAACGGATCAAGGAGCATCTAGCAGAAAGTGTCTTCTTCGAGCAGACCCCTTGCCAGCCAGGTCATTGACGTTTACTGATACCTTTTTATTAGGAACTGTCTAGGACCTTGGTTCTCAACTGGTGGGTCGTGACCCAAAAGTGGGTCGCGACCCCGTTTTCAGTGGGTCGCCGCATGCCCTTCACTTTTCTATGTGAGAGGCTCCTCAGCCTCCCCCTAGCGTAGCAATATCAGTTCTTGCGCTGAGCAGCCATTCAGAATATGCTGCCTGGCGCCAAGTGTCAGCTCGAGGTGGGGTGGGCTGGAGCAATGGCCGCGAGGGAGCTTCATCCATATATGAATTGCTTACAGCTCCCTCACGTGACCTGTAGAGGTGCCTGGATCGGAGTGACGTCACATTCTGGCTCCCGGCACCTCTACAGGGCGCAAGGGAGTTGTACAATGTATGTATGGATGGAGCTCCGTCACAGCACAGCAGCCCAGCACTGGACCCCAAGCTGAGGATCGCACGGATCGCTCACACCGGAAACCCATGGTACCGCAATGCCGTGCATTCCATTGCACTGCGACTTGTGTCGCCGCTTAATGTCCAAGGACAAATGTGGGTCCTGAGGTTACATAGGTTGAGAGCCACTGGTCTAGGACACATTCGCTAATTAATTAAAGGGAGTCTGGTCTTTATCAGACATTTTCCATATATACATGTTAATGCGACTGGCTTCACTTGATTTTTTCAAAGTGTGTCAGTGTTTCCAAACCTTTTTTCTTCAGTATAGCTTGTAAATGTATATGTGCATCCCTCCACTTGGAGGTTGTGCCTCCTACTTAGTATTGAGGATGATTCCCCATCAAGAGAAAACATAATAACCAATATTTTCTATTTTATATGCCATCACTAATTATAAGGTTTCTAACCTAGCATGCTAGAGTTTTACTTGTGTTATGCAAATATTTGATGAGCATTTTTTGAATCACAAAAATTTTATTTTTCTGCTATTGTTTCTGGTACAACTCAGCCAGAAGTGGCATATAGTATAGTTAACATCTTCCTTAGGAAATTAATGATGCTGTCATTGTTGCCTGGCTTTGATATTTTCCAGCCACAAACCCAGAACAAGCATGTTGTATAACAGCATCAGAAAAGTGTCAGAATATTGTATCTATATGTTTTTTCCAGGTCAGATATTCATAAAACATTGAAGCCAAGGGGTCAGCATGACAGCCAGGGAACTGTGGTTTTCAATGGATAGGTCAGCAATGGCAGCCCCCATAAGTTTCTCATGACAGAGTCACTTTAACGCCTCCTAGGGTAGCCCTAAACTCCCTAGTCCTCAACCATGTATTCCAGTGACCCATCAGGATGGATTATGCCAATTATGGCCACCATTACTGTTAGTCTCTCTTAATGGTGCTCTATGAGTGAGGCTAGACTCTGTGGCGCATCTTGTAATTGTATATCGGCAGAATAGCAGAGATACTATTTCTCTTCAGAGAATGTTGTGAATAGAAGTTTTATGCTTACTGTTTCAGATATCAGAAACTCCTCCTCAGGACCCAGTCTGTTAATGGTCTTCCTCGGCATGGTTTGCATCGCTGCACTGATGATGCCCACTATGGGTGAAATGGAATCTGTGGTGCCTCTCTACCTCCACTTAAGTGTGAATCAGAAATTAGTAGCTGCCTATGTTTTAGGTAAGACCATTATACTGGGAAAGAGTAAACAATAAGCCTTGGGCTCTATTCTGTTTTATGCATATTTGTGCATTGTGGGTGTAGTGCCTTGTTGTTGCTCTTAGCGTTATAGGCCCATTCTTACATGCATGACCATTCATCCCTATGTAATGCATGGTTTGCTGAAAGCCACGCCAAAGGACTTTTTGCAGAGCACCACTCCCACAACATACCTTAAAGGAGAATTATGAGATGAGTGATTTTCACTCAGCCTCATAATCCGAGCCGACTTGTGACAATGAAACTGTCACAGGTCGGCTCAGTAGATCGGGAAGTGAGTGAACACATACCGGCGCTCGCTCACTTCTCGATCCTGTGCCGGCAGAGAGTCGTGACAGGGGAGACTGGATTCCCCCCTCCCCTGTCCGATCCTCCAGCACTGACTGGCGGAACGGGAGGGGGCGGGTACAGCTGGCTCTGCCTCTAGATAGGCAGAGCCAGCTGTCAATCACGCAGCTGGGTGGATCCAGACATAATTGTCAGGATCCGTTCCGGCTGCGACGTCTCAGTCTGTAGCTCGCGGTATACTGAACTTTGGGTAACGGGAGGACGCTAGTTTGTGTCCTCCCGTTACCCTTAGGAGAACTATGGGGAAAAGCCCTAACCCCATAGTTCTCCTTTAAACTCCAATATGTGAATAGAGCCTCAGAAGTAACATCCTAAACTGGAATTCCAGTGTAAAATGAGGAGAGGGTAGATCCCTGGTGCTCAATCTGTGGTCTTTTTAGTCTTCTGCTGCAGGTTTATAGTCTTCAACAACAGCGGTACCCTGTCTGTAGTCCCTGACCATCTCCACTAGTATGTCTGCAGTTTCTGACAGTCCTCTCTTGCATTACACTTATTTAATAATTATGTGCTCTTTGCTACTTTTAAGGGGCCACAGTTCAGGGCCACCTGTACTTAATAAGTTGACAACCACTATGTTTAGATCATCTGTCAGATTTTATTGCTGTCTTTGTCCAGGATGAAGACAATTTCCCACACACATTCTATGTGGTCACCAGCATAGGAAGTGAGCAGAATCTTGCCAGAGCAGACAAAGAAAACAAAAAGAAGCATTTTTTTAAGCTTCCTGACTTTATTAGGTACCAAAGGTTTGGCTGGAGTTGCACTTTGAGACAGCCCATGTAGCTGTACTGACATCTATTATCATTTGCGGTTAAAATATGCTTTGTGCAGCATTTTCACTTTGTACATATGTCACACAGACAACCAGAGCAAAGTTGTGGAGTCAGCAGATGAAGCAGTATGGTGAAGCAGCACATACCCTAAGCCCTCCTCTGTTACTGCTAGGATGTTGTGGGTAGTCTTGTTATTGACCTAATTTTCTTTTCAGTTACAAAGTCTGTTCAATTTAATCAAAAGGTCACCTTCCAATGTACAAACCAAGACTGTTGTCTGAGCTGTGGTCAGGGCACAAGGCATTCAAATGTAGAATGAAAGCTAAATCTTGTCATCGACACTGATATTATCTACGTGACCTACCATGCTAGAATACAGGTCAGGCAGTGGCTGCACATAGTTGTTTTATTGAATTATTTGCAGGCCTGTTTGGGCTTGTTTATGAAGCCAGTCTAACAGTCCTTCATTTTGTGGTTCAGTAATAGTCTGGCAAGTTACACCATTCATTAACTCTATGTTAGAAACTTTTTAACTGTCTTCTTAAGAACCCCAGACAGTATGCATACTGTACATGCCACAAATCATAGCTTTGTTTTCTTCTAAACTGGCCACATAACATAATAGTGACATTTTGGAAGAAAACAGTAGTCATTCCTATCAGAAAACCTCACTGTTTAAAGAATATAAGTAGCGTGTCACCAAAGTCCTGATTGTGACCATTGCTTCTCAGCATTTCATAGCTGCACAGGTCTTAACCTTGGGGGGAAAAATGAGCTCCCATGATGCAATTAGAGCTTCTCCTATTCTATGTAAGCTGTTTAGAATTATGTCTTGGAAGTGATGGACACATTGTTTTTTGAAGAAGTCGAACACTTTCTACACATTAGCTTCTCTCCCAGTGCAAGAAAAAGAAAGTATAATGCCTACTGGTTCTATTTAGTGGTTTCAGCAGATCCACATTTTTAAAGTGACACTAAACTCAGGGGTTAAATCTTAAAAATACTTTCAAGTACCCTGACTATTAACAAAAATGTGGGTTATTTGTGTGATTGTGTATCATTTGTGGACTACAATCTCAGTACAAATTAGTGAACTAAAAGTGAGTATGTAGTCCTTCATGGGAGCAAACTTGGAGCGGTGGGTAACTTACAACACACACAGGGACCATGGAGAACAAAAGATAGTGACCCTCCAAAAGGAAGGACAGTGTCAGCACCAATTCAGAGATGATTCGAGGATCTACAGATGAGTGGTACACAAATAAACTACATTTTTGTTAGGTACTTTATGTAGGGGTAGTAGGAAAGGGCAAGATTTTTGTTTTTTTTTATTGTGTATCCCCACTGGAGACATTTCTTTTAACTTCATTGAAAAAGATTGCTCAAAACCACCACAAGTCATTTTTTACTTTTGGGAATAATTGATTTAGGCAATTCATTTCAGTGCCTTTTATAAACAGCAGGGGGCCCTTGACTAAAATACAATAGCAACCCTGACACGTGAAAGCTGAAAATAAGTAGTACACTGCACCAAGAATTTATGGGGGATAAACAGCTCCCCACTTTTTTTTTTTTTTTTTATGGGGTGGGACCTGAATACACCGTTTTCTAAGAAGGCAGTACTTATGCTCTTAGAGTCCTTTTGACATTTTCCTTAAGGAACAAGTGTCATTTATATGGAAACCCAGCAACCTACCTCTGCAGCCTTAGCATAAATTGGTGAAATTAGTATCTTAGATGATGATAAAATGTATTTTTCCTTCTGTGTGGTCTACCCTGCTTAGCAGTGCATTCTCTTCATTAGCAGAGAATGGGCGTAGAAAATAAAAATAGTCCATCCAGCAAATGCACTTAAAGTGGAAACTGCTATTATTCCCTATGGTCTATCCACAGTAGGTTGTCCTAATGATCATCTGAGCCTATGTAAAGAGGGCTCAGATGATCCCTCTCTGGAGGAGACAGAGTTGGGACTTTATGGTTCTCTAAAGTACCTTATTACATATCACCAATTAATGCAGAGGCTGAAAATGAATTCCTGGATGACAAACAATGTATACTGAGAAAATAAAAATAATTTTTGTACAGGTTTAGGAAAATCTGAATGGTTGCTCTCCTATTGGGTTCTTACAGACAAAAAGATTTCTGGGGTCTTTCATGAGGACAGTTAAATCTTGCTTTCCTAGTAGGTCAAGGTTCAATGAAAAAGCAGGACATGTCTGTATGTGGATTTATAGATTATTATTTGTGTAGATCAGCCTTTCTCCCAGCTGAACCTCTAAAATATAGTTCAGGTCTCAGAGAACTCCCACTAAAAATATCTACTGCTTATGTTACATTAACGTGATCAGTCAATGATAATAATACAAGAATAAACAATGTAGAATACATATATCGAGTATGTGACACCCAAGTTTGATAATTTTTAACAACCATTGCTCTATATACAATATAATTTATCGGTAATAATCATGAAATTGACATAAAACGCATGTCAGTGGAGAAGACCCCCATACATTGGTTATCAATGGAGAAGGGACCATTATAATGGTGGTCAATGGGGAAGGGACCATTACATTGGTGGTGAGTGATGGACAACCTTACATTGGTGGTCATTAAAGGATCCTCCAACATTGGTGGTCAGTGAAGCACCTCCTTACAATGGTGGTCAATGGGAGAGGGGACCCCTTATATTGATGGTAGGTATGATAATGGCTTCCTTACATTGGTGGTCAGTGGAACAAATGGGCCGTTACATTGGTAGCAAGTCATATGATTGCCACTCTTAAAGACAGCTAAGAATATTGGTGTCAGTGATTAATTACCTGAGAGAAAAGGCTCCAGTAGTCCCATGCCATTGACTCTGTGTAAGAAAGTCACTGGTCTGTGATCAGTATTGGCAATAAATGCGGCTTTATTGCATTCAACATAAAAAGTATCTTTTTATCAACAGGGTACGTTTTCCCTTTTTAAACAAAAGAATACCAGCAGAAACTCAAAAGTAACATAAATAAAAAGGCCTACTCCACCTTAGGAGGCTAACTAACAGTTTTTATCCAAACATTATCCCACAGACATTCAGACGCTCTCCAGTCTGTATGCATCCATCCAATCCAGCATGGATCTCCCTCTCTGAGCTCTCTCCCCCTTCAGTCACTATCAGGTGCAGGCAAATTAATAGAGAGAGGAGGTGTACCTGTTGGGGCAAGGCTTAACTCCTTCTTAGCCAGGGAAAGCTGCCCTTTTCAACCTCCCACTGACATACACAGTCGTATAACCTGTCACATCTGCTACATGATTTTAGCTCCAAAACCATATAAGCAGCATAAGTCAGTCACCCCTGCACCTAGCAACCTCTGGCGGAACCCATCCATGGTTAAGAAAGGCTGGTGCAGCAGTATTTGTGTACAGGACATGTTTTAGGGGTAATGATTTGAAAGTTACAACCCTATAGAAGGAAGGCTTGCCTCTCCTGAGTCAGACTATATAAAACATTTTCATATTTGACTGGAGTGTAACTTTAAATATGGGCTTTTATTGTCATGCATCACTAATTTCTTAGGGAAACCCCTTTTCTCACTGTTTTGCAGGTCTTATAACAATGGTTGTTCTTCGAACATGAAGGTTCTAGTTTACATGAACTGAGACGGTGTATGATCACTTCATCATGAGGACCGCATTCAGCTGTCATGTCGGCAGAGCTCGCCCCACATGCAGGAATAGCAGTGGTTTTAAGAGAAAATGGCAGAAGTACAATATATTTTAACTCTGTATTACTGTAATTGAATGGCATAAGCATATTATGAGTGACTTTGTAACAGCCAGCTGAGAATCTTTGTTTTATGATGTCTGCGAGAGAAATCTGAAAAAAACGCATTTTATATGTATGCCTGTACAATAATTTTATTGTAAAATGGACGGTCATTTTCTACATTTTGTTTGTGTTTCATTTTTCAATAATAATAAAAATAACAGAAATTAAAATGTTGATCTCATTATTCATTTATATCCCTAATGTTTACCAAAGGCACCTATACATGTTACAAGTAGGTTGGCCAAGGTGGTCAAATTAAAATGTATGAAAACTTAGTGTATATGGAGGTCAACTAAACGAATCAAATACATCGGTTTCCAAAAGCACATTCTCAAAGACCACTAATATATTTGTGAGAATTACATGTATAGCTGAGATGAAAGGGCTCAGGAGGTAACAAAGTGCAGAACTGACCAGTGATCTCCATGCAAGCTACAAACAGAGCTTCTAAACTACAGTCAACTCCCTGTTATCCGGCATCCACGGTGATTCTGGATAGATGTAGTTTCGGGTTGCTTGAGGGTTACTATTAATAATAGGTCTAACTAATCCCATACCCCATATCATAACATAAACTCTGTATTGACTTCATATTAATATTGAAATGCAGTAATCAAAAGCAAAGTAAGACAAATAGACACACGATCATTTCCAGGATAATACATGCCGCAGACCAGCAGAACAATGTGTACACAGGGGAGGTTTTTTCTGGTTAGCTGAAAGTTCTGGTTAGTTGAATACCAAATAACAGAATTTACTGTATTGTCAAACAAATCCACTTCAAGTAAATTTGGTTGAGCACTTCTCACTTATCAAAGTTAACACTTTATTATTTTTTTTTTTTAATATTATTATTCAAATAAAATGTTTAACTTAAATCAGCTAAATCATTTGAATGTAACATGTTACCATAAAATATTGAAAGCCATTGTAAAAACAGAAATGATTGAAACCATTCCACCGTACCATAGACCTATGTACAACCTCCTATCCTGTACATCGCAGGAAGGTGCCATCTTAGCCCCTATTTGGATTGCAGTTGCCATGACGCTGCACATGTGATCAGCCATGACACCAGCCATTTGAGGGCTTGAAAGTTCGGCTGAGAGCTGAAATAAGCGCACCGGCAACCTCCACAGTTGGCATGTCTTAAAAGTAAGGCTGGGTTCACACTTGGGCGTAAGGAATATGCGCGATCTGTGGTAAAAAACGCGTGACAAATGCGCGTTTCCGAGGGCTATCCAGCTGTATCCTAATGGATACGCGCAACAAAGAAGCTCCTGTACTTCTTTGGGCGTAGGGCGTTTTTCAGCGCGTTCCTACGCGCTGTAAAACGCCCAGGTGGGAACCATGCCCATAGGCAATTAATGGTTTTCACATGTTGAGCGTTTTACAGCGCGTAGGAACGCGCTGTAAAACGTCCAGGTGTGAACCAGGCCTAACTGTTTTGGGAGACATTTACTTGGTGGGTCAGGTTCCACTTTAAGTCCTTGCCTAGAGACTGTAAAATTAGTTCAGTTTCTGCAGAGATTAGTGATCTCCAGTAAGATAATATGTTATGTGCTGATAATGTCCGCCAGCGGAGAGTCTACAAAAAGTAATACATATCCGTATGGATTTAGACAGAATGTGCACAGGCTACACTATGCCTGTATTATTCTGGGTTGGTTGAGGCTAAGCAGTCCAAAAAGAACTCACACTCACCTGCAAATACCATCAGTCCAATATTTGTAGCAAGTGGTGGGATTGTCAAATGGTCAGTCCGGCCATAGATCTGTACATATGCTAAGAACAAACTCTTGAACTAACCATATACACTAAATAGTGAATTGTTTAGATTCGCATTACACGTGGCCTCTGCAGAAACCTATTTATCTCTGAAACAACCTGATACTTCCGTCTGTTCTGAATGCTGTCTGAATTCTTAGTTGTAATATGATGAGTAATACGCATAATAAAACATTTGAGTTCAATAACAAGCAACCACAGAAACTGTTTTGTTCCATTATATCTGCCCAAAAACATTTATGGTCTTGTAAGGCAATGCAAATATTAAAAATTATGTGTTGAATGTAGTGTAGTGATAGCAAAAAGTCACATTTCAATCTGTTGCAGTTAGATCAGGAAAAGCTAAATTCTGTTCGGATGAGTTAGGGTACTGTCCCTGTATCAGGCTGCTTTAATCCCTTATGCTGCAAGACTCAAGCTGCGAGAGGAAAGGACAGCGCAGTAAATCTAGTTATTGCACAGTGTTATCAGAGCTCACAGACTGAAGTAGGCCTATGACCAAGCTGTAATGCTTTAATTCCAACGGAAAAAGGTGAAGTAAGAGGCATGGTGGTTGGCATGGCACCACGGGGTGCTATCTGGCTTGTCAAGGGTGCCTTCAAGTTTTTGCTAAAGTAAGGGACTCCTGATATAAAGAGAGTGGGGGCCTCTGATGTATAGCAGGGGTGCTTCTAATGTGAAAAGGGGGGGGGGGGGGGACTCTGATGTGAAGGGGGAAACTCCACATTTTCTTTTTTTTTGTTTCTTTGTCTGGGGTCCCACTTCAAAATCCATACCAAACCACTGTCTAGAAAAAAAGAGTTTTGTTTTTATTTGGGGAGGTGGAGAGGGGGGACCACACATCGTTTTTTACATTTTAGACTGGGGAGTCTTAAGATTTAGCCTACTTTGAAAAGGTGCCCTGATTGAAAAAAGGTTGAGAAATGCTGGTCTAGGCTACAGACATTTAAGTACTTACATCTTTTTAACAAGCAAAACTGACAACAGAGGCACTAAAGGGCCTGTGTTGATGGGCTTTTGTTGACAGAAGATGGGTTTTGAATACCCATGCAAGTTTGTGGAAACACAAAACCCGCTTGAAGCAGATGATATGCATGTCAGAAAAAGGTTAACTCAGGAGAATCTCAAACTGATATCAAAGTGATGCTATCTACACAAGCCCAAAGGCCATCAACAGGCCCAAAGACAGTTCTAGTTAGTTTTTTTCAGCAGCTTTATCCCAGCCTGCTCCCTCTCCTAGAAGTTACTCGGCACGTTTTTTATTATAAACACAGAGCTGGTGCTCTAAGCTTAGAAAGAGACTACAGCTGACTTCAGTTCCTCTGTTGTGAACTTTGAATACTTGCTCCACAGTGCTTGTAGCTACAGATGTCAGTTAGGGCTTGTTTTAAAGCTCATTGACTGCAGGTTTGGTATGGTACTCCCAGAGTCCCTGCTGGGTTTTACAGACCTTTATTGAGAATCCCAGCCAGAACTTCTAGAAGACTTTGCAAGTACCTCTAATGGTATTCACAAGAGCCCCGCCAGTACTTCTAATGGCCCTCACAGAACCCAGGCCGGTAAAATCAATGATAGCAAAATAATCCGAACCAGAACATCCAGAGTGCCCTGAAGGGAGCTTGGGTGTGCTGTTTCTCATTCAGAGAGGTATTTAAGTACCAGTTCTGCAAAAAGCTTGTACTGTGTCTTTAAGCCAGCTTTCTGTGCGTACAAGAGCTATAATACTGTTTGTTTCCTGTTGCTGATCGTCTGACCCCTCTTCACTTGCCACCTGCCCTGATCTTCTGCCTGAACCCAATTACGCTCCTGTGTAATGCCTGATTACTCGCTGCCAACCTGGACCGTCTGACCACTCTCTGTTAGCCACCTGCATTGACCCCTGCCTGGATCTGACTATGCTATTGTCGACTGACTTTGTCTCCTACACATTCGCTGCTGACCTGGATCATCTGACCAATCTCTGGTTCTCTTGTCAGGATCTCAGCCTTTTCCTGACCATGCTCCAGATTACTGTGTCACACGAGTCCTCCTGTCCTGCTCATCTCTTGGTGGGGCAATTCTGGGGGCCGCCACCTGGCACCAGTAAGCAGCAAAATCCATCTCCACCATCAGGAACTCTGTTTAAATACTTAGATGTCCATAGCATGGCCACAGGTTCACTATAAAAGTAAAATAAAATGACTCAGCTGAACAGTCACAAAATCTACATTCACCTCTGGGAAGTTTGGTCATGTTCATGATTTCTTTTTGATGTATGCAAGACATTTATCTTTTTGATTTATGATTTTCAATTAATTAACATGTGTTACCAATGTTCTCTTACATCAATATTTTATATATACATACTATATCTCCTGAAGAAGCAGGTCCTGTTCAGATCACCATATTTTTGTACATGAATACATGTAGACTTTTCTACATGAATAAGTGTGGATTGTTGTACATAAAAAAAAAATATAAGACAGTTTCTTATTTTCGGGGAAACATGGTATATGGAGGTCTAAGTTGGATACTTTGTAATTAACATAGTATGTGATGTAACTAATTATTTTTATATGTCCTTATGTGATTACATGTCCATAAAATCTTTGTATTTACCTGTATGTATTGGTACTTCTAAAGTCCTATCTTCATCTACAGAAAATGTCCAACTTAAATGGTGGTTTTGGATGGTGGTACCATGACAAACTACTGATCCAACATGCTAATTTTTGTGTTATTAATAGTACAAACGATAATAAAATGGAAACCGGTGCTTGATAAATCATAATAATGTAATATGTTCTCTTATTGAGTTCCAAGTAGCAGATCACATTGTATATATTAACTGAAGTGTAAATTAGCTAAAGAATGCATGTTGTGAATACATTTTGGCCATGTCCATTCCAAAGCTGTGAACTTTAGCATCTGTTTGCACTGTATGGAATCTTCCCTCAGGCCAGCTCTGTATTTAGTAGTAACAAAGATGCAGAGACAATTCAGCAATTAATCAGCACCCCATGGGTAGAAGTGCCACAGTCATTTCATCCATCACGATGGTTATATCCATAGTCATCATTCCTGTTTACATGTCAAATGTGCTTTTTAGAGATGATGAATAGACTACAGTGTGAGTATTCCAGCTCTACAACTGCCTAGTCACACAGAACTAATCTGCATTGCTGACCCATAACAGCCAGAGGGGGGAGATCATCTGTATTCAGGCAAAATCTGTAGCATTCTGGACACCAACAGAGAATAGTGCCGGTACAATGACCACAGACTGCAATCACAGTAATGGTATTAACTAAAAAAATAGCTTGTGCCCAAAGATTTCTGGCTGGCATCACTTACATATGCGTGTTTCAGAAATCACTGC